TAAGAATTGTCTTGTGTGATAAGAATGTACCACCAAGACTTAAAAGTAAGTTCTATAGAATGGTTGTTAGGCTGACTATAATGTATGCGGCAGAGTATTGGCCGGTCAAGAACTCACATGTCCAAAAGTTAAAAATAACAAAAATAAGAATATTAAGATAGATGTGTGGGCATAATAGGAAATATGAGATTATTAATGAGGATATTTGAGACAATATGGAAAATGCCCACCTATGATGGACAAGATGTAGGAAGCGAGACTGAGATGGTTCGAGGATGTGAAGAGGAGGTGCCCAGATGCCCCTGTGATAAGGCAGTACACAATATATTTGTAGCTTAGTGAGGACATGACCCTTAATAGGAGAGTATGTAGGTCGTGAATTATGGTAGAAGGTTAGTAGGTAATTGAGCTTTTTCTTTTTCATACTTGTAATATCATTATTATTTGTGGATGTTCTTACTCTTAAATCTCTATTATTATCGGTTGTCTCTTTTGCTTCGGTTATCTCTTTATCATGTTGTTGATACTGCTTCTTATTACTGCTTTTAATGGCTTCTCTGTTACTGTATTTTTTTCTACTATGCTATGACTATGCTTTTTCTAAGCCGAGAGTCTATCGGAAATAACCTCTCTATCTCCATAATGTAGGATAAGGTCTGTGTACATACTATATATTCTCCCCAGATCCCACTTATAAAATTATACTAAATTTGTTTGTTGTTGTTGTTAAATCATTCTATCATGCAGTTTCTACTTTGAAGAAAAAATTTCAAGATTGCCGTTTTCACGTCCCTCTTTTTCTTGTTTTCTTTTGTGAAATCTCGTTCCAAGTGAATATTCGTTCCTCAACGTACAATGCTTTCAACGCTCGCAATCTACTTTTTTTTTTTCTTTTGTGATTAGTTACCTTCTCAAGGTTGTAAGTAGAGGTGATAAAATGGTTAAAAGAAAACAGTTGATCGCCCATATTATTTATTAAAATAGGTTGGATAATGAACTTTTTAAAAATGGGTCAAATATAGATAAAAATTATATTATCCATTTAGAAAATGCATAACCAATGGATAGTAATGGGTTTAACTTTTACATTTGTAAAGCCTCAAATTGGGGGTTCCTCAAGTTTGGGAGACTAGAAGTTCTCCCAAAAATAATCATATTCAAGAAGTCATAGATAATATGGTTACCCATGTTATCCGCCGGTTAACCCGTTTTCTATCCGTATCAAATACGGGTCGAATCGAATAATTTTTACGTTTTTATTACCCGTTTTGATCCGAACCGTATCCGTCCTGCCCGTTTATCACTCCTAGTAGTCGTAAGGGAAAACGAAAATTTCCAAAGTAGTAAATAAATGGGATATATTTGAAAAGAGGCCAGCCTTAAGTTCTAGAAGGAAAATAAAAAAAGAAAAGGAAAAAAGATAATTAGAAAAGATACCCAAGTGGGACCTTTTAAGCAATTGCCAAATAGACATGAGAGTTCAAAATTTTGGTGGAGATGATGTAAACCGTGTACTCCTTGGAACGTATCCAAGTTCCAACTCTACCTAAATAAAAGAATTGAAAACATGATTGTGAAATGAATGAGAATGTGACCGCTGATTCTCATTGCATCATTCTCTTTAAAATCAAACCCTCCCTCTATTTTTATCCTTCATTATTTTTACAAGTGTTAATTTTTAAATTTCCTAAATGGTTTTAAGTTGGTGAGCTGAAATCCAGCTGCCAAGCATTGACTTCCTTAGATCATGGGATGCTCGTTCCTTACTTGATTTCCTTTCCTTTCTTTTCTTCTTTAAAACAAATTACGGCTTTTTTGAATTTTAGTTCTACTTTCTTTGTTGCCCAATCATTCTCCATTTTCCCTTAAGGTAACATATACCTCCTCTTCTAATTATGAATTTTTCATGATCATCTACCATTTTATTCATGGAAATAGTTTTTTTTTTATATAAAAAATACGAGTTTCTGTCCCCTCCTGATTTTTTCGTGCAATTTCTTGTTTCAGCATGTTTTTATTCTTGATTATTTATTGATTTTCATCAAAGGTGACTTTACCTTTTTCTTCTAATTCTTTGTTTCTCCTTTATGTTCCGTTTTTTGAAATTCTTTTATTTTTTTCAAAAATCCATTTTATGGTTAGTATATTGATAATGTGATAATTCAAGAAATAAAGCTTTCTTTGTTGGGATTATGGAAAATTGAAGAACTCTAGAGCTCTCAATACACTATTTAATTAGTACGTATAAATACTGCATATCTGTTTCTCTAACTCCATGTTTTTTTTTTCTCGATTTCCAGACTACTAAAATTGTCTAGGCTGTTAGTCATTGAAATTTGTGAGTTCTATTTTTTAGTTTTTAAAATAAAATTCAATCTCTATGCTGTTATTGTTTTCAGAGGCTAACTAAAAGAAGTATTAGACTTGTAGGTATATCTGAAGCTAATCAGCACAATGATAATTAATTGTTTCTTTTAAAAGTTAATACTATAACAAAAAGGAATTGCATATATGTTTTTGATTTGATTGTGATATACTGCAGGTAGGTGTTTCAAAGGGCTATGAAGTGTTTCCAGTTCTCAAATTCAGACAAGAATGATGATCACAACAACAAGACTACAAAGTCTACATCAGGCCAGTCTTGTGCCTCTGTTTCAACTGATCCTGAGTTTAAAGGATTCACTACTTCAGGCCAGTCGTCTGCATCTGACATTAGCACCGAGTCCTCTTCTAGGCTCTCGTTTTCGTGCTTGTCGTCTCATAAAAGGCCCTGCAATCTTAGGGTCTTCACTGTTGACGAGTTGAAGACCGCCACCAGGAACTTTAGCCGATCCCTCATGATCGGGGAAGGCGGGTTTGGAGGTGTATACAGGGGTGTTTTACGTGACACGAAAGATAAGAGGACTGATATTGCCGTTAAGCAACTCAGCCAGAGAGGATTGCAGGCTAGTTCTATTCTTAGTGTCCTCATAATAGACTTTAGTGATTTGATCATAGCAAATGAACTAACTAGTCAGTGGGTTGTTCTAGTGGTGAGCACCCTCCACTTCCAACCAAGAGGTTGTGAGTTCGAGTCATCCCAAGAGCAAGGTGAGTTCTTGGAGGGAGGGATGCCGAGGGTCTATCAGAAACAGCCTCTCTACCCCAGGGTAGGGGTAAGGTCTGCATACGCACTACCCTCCCCAGACCCCACTAGTGAGATTATACTGGGTTGTTGTTGTTGTAACTGTAGTCAGTGGAGTTGTGAAAAGATGGTATGACATGTTTTTTTCTGAAATTGAGTTTGGCTTGTGTTTTAGGGGCATAAGGAATGGGTGACAGAAGTGAATGTTCTAGGTGTTGTTGAGCATCCGAATCTTGTCAAGCTCATAGGGTATTGCGCACAGGATGACGAGAGAGGGATACAGCGCCTCTTGGTGTATGAATTCTTGCCCAACAGGAGCGTACAGGATCATCTAATGAGTCGTTTAATGTCACCTTTGCCATGGGAGACTAGGTTAAGTATCGCTCGCGATGCTGCTACAGGCTTGGCCTATCTTCACGAGGGAATGGAGTTTCAGGTAGTTCATTCTATATATTTGCAGAACTGTTCATAGTTATGCTTATGTATTATTAATTTAATGCAGATTATCTTCAGAGATTTCAAATCATCAAACATTCTATTGGATGAGAAATGGAATGCAAAGCTTTCAGATTTTGGTTTGGCAAGATTAGGCCCTTCTGATGGATTAAGCCATGTCTCAACTGCGGTATGCTCAATAGCTCCATTGAATTATATTTTCTGCACCACTTGAATTTTGATGGTCGATTTCACCAACATTTGGTGTGATATTTCACCTCAAAATTTAGAAAGTAATTATTCCTAGGATGAAAATATTACTACTATTATTATTAGTATTATTCTTTTTCAAAAATCAAGAAGTCACTGAGGGCTAGTGGTGCATAGTTCGGAATGCTGCTCTAACTACTAGACCAAAGCCGCAGGGTGAAACTACTACACCTATTAAATAATAAAGCTTTAGTTAACCAAGTATATTGAAAGTAATCTCATATTCAAATATAACGATTTGGATTGTCAGTCTATTTAGGATAGTTTGTAGGATCATGGATTATCTCCAAACATGTTATAGATGTTATATTTTGCTTTTAAAATGCCATAATAATGTGAAATTCTCTATTTTCTAAGAATAAGCACACTTAGAGCAATACATTAATGATGAATGTGAACAGGTGGTGGGAACTGTTGGATATGCTGCTCCAGAATATATACAGACTGGGCGCTTAACATCCAAGAGCGATGTATGGAGCTATGGGGTGTTTCTATATGAACTCATTACCGGCAGGCGTCCATTGGACAATAATAAACCTAAAAATGAGCAGAAACTTCTGGAATGGGTGAGACCACATCTTTCAGACCTGAAGAAGTTTGAACAAATTATGGATCCTCGACTAGATGGGAATTATTCCCTTAAATCTGCACAGAAGTTAGCTGCCATAGCGAATAGGTGTTTAACTAAACACCCCAGAAACCGTCCTAAAATGAGTGAGGTTTTGGAGATGGTGAATCGGGTCGTGGAGGCAACTGAAGCAAAAAGTCCAGAAATCCCAATAGAAGAAAGTACAACCACCCCGAGAGTCGACGATGAGAAATTCAGAGTAAGGTGTCTAAGTGCAAGCAGAAGATTGGTAGAACATATTCCTAAAGAAAACAAGTTGCTGGTATGGAAATTGTGGAGGCCTAAGCTTGTCAGTACCAATTGAGTGGCAGAAATGAAACTAAAGTGAATCTGCCTACCACGTCAATGAGGCAGTGCCACTTTTGATTGTAAAGATATTTCATGTTTTGCTAGAGCTGCCAACTAGAAAGAAAGTTTTGTTGAACAGACTAAATACCAAAACTGGAAACAGACCAAGTATAAATGATTAAGTAACACAAGATGAAAATGTTTGCGATCAATGTTCTTTTCGCTACACTTGTATAATAATGTTGCCAGATACAATCCGTTAATCTAGTGCAATATCCATTATCAACACTAGATCCAAAAACAAAATAATCATCTAATCCAAAATAAACTAGCATGTGGATCTATAAATAGCTGAAAAGTCTACAATTTAACCAAGGAAAATATAAAACACAGCTTCTGCGGAAGGCTGTGTTTCAATTCACGCTTATTTCGACAAAATTCAAGCACACACTGTCCAAAGAGATCTATTTGGAATAAAAAGGGTAGCTCCAAATAATATGCTGAAAACTCACATCTCTATTTCAGTTTGTGAAAGCCCGAGGCATGTCAATTACCTAATAAATGATCTCACTCCACAGAGATGGAGTCCAACAATCTTTTACCTTCTTCGCCCAGCTCTATATTCTCCATTTTAATCCGCCGACGCATGATAGGACTTGTTTTTCCAGAAGCTACATAAGTTCTTAACAAAGATTCAAATATGTCAACCCCCAACTCATCCTTAGCCTTCTTCAAAATTTCCGTAAAATGTTCTGCACCATCGACATCTTTATTTTGTTCAAAATGACTCATGAATTTTCTAACGATAGCAGATGATGGAAGCCACTTGCCGCCATCACCTCTACCAGTTGAAATTGCCTTGTCAACACAATCAACTGCTGATTTGATATCGCCAATTTGCAGATAATAATCCCCGAAAATCTCCCATGTCTTAGCATTAGGCTTAGCTCCACTCCTTCGGGCCCGTTCCTTGAGCTCTTCAGCTTTCTCCAAAGAACCTTGTTTAGTGTAAGCTCCTATAAGAACATTTGCTACACGTATGTCATAAGTTGGGCATCCAGACTCCCATTCCTTGAAGCATTTCTCAGCACCCGGTAAGTCATTCAAGTTAACCAAAACTTGAATCATGTTAAGATAGCTTATATTTGCCGTTCTGGGAAAAGCAAGCCTCAAAGAACGCCATACACGATATACTTCCAACAAATTTCCAACACGGCCATACAATGTGATCAGAAACTGGTATGCAGTAACATTGCGGCATGCATTTTTCTTCTCCAGTTCCTTGAGTGCCTTCACTGCTTTATCGGTTAAGCCAGCATCTGCATAAATCGATGCCAAATTGCTATATGTAGTCCAATCATCAGCTACACGACCATCTCTCTTCATTTCATCAATAACCCTCTCGACCCCAGAAATATCATTCATAGAAGAAAGAGCCCTCATCCAAACATTGTAGGTGTAAGAATCTGGCATTACATCATAGGCCTTCATTTCTTGAATAATGGCTGGAATTTTTTCTGGGTGCCCAGTTTTTGTGTAGAGAGTCATCAAGCTGTTATAAGGCATGGAGCTTAAACCTAAGTTAAGTTCTTTCATTTTCTCCATCAGCGCCTCAGCTTTTTCCGTCATTAATTCCTTGCAATAGCAATTCAGAAGAGCAGAATAGGTGAGAAGATTTTTCGATGCCTCTGGGAGATTCGAAAAATAAGTCTCTGCTGCTTCAATCCCTTTACTCTTGGCAACAAGATCCAGATGTATAGCTTGATCACTAATAGTCTTGTTCATGCCCCTTTTTTCCATTGTTTCTAATAACTGCATATAGCAACTAGCAAACTTAAACATTTCATTTTGCAATAAGAAAACCATGGAACCATAAAATACTACTACTAGCTTACAAGTCACATCTGATAGTGCTAAGGATGTTATACATAATTGTTCCACTTCAAATTTTGTGCTGCCGTAATAAGATCTAAGAGATAGAAATGAACCCACTTCTTGGGTTTCTTATAGGGGTTTACAATATGTCTTTTGCATCAAGGTATGATCCCTTAAGCAGTTATTTTCACTATTTGATACAAGCTGCCACCAAAAAATAACATAGGAATTAAGTAAAAAGGAAAATAACTAGTCGAAAACCACAGCAGTGAGAACTATAGCTAGAATATGCATCAATTCTAAAGCTAAAAATCAAATAGAGATAACTTGAAGTTAAAACCATGACAACATACAGATTTACACAAACAAATTAGGGTTTAAAGTTCACACTTTGGAAAATGAAAGACCTTGAAGTTGAAGGTAGTGGTCTTTCATAGTAACACTCAAATGTTTTAAGGCCAATACTACAATCTCGCTAACAGGGTTAGGTTTTAAGACATGCGATGACCTCTTTCGCTAAGAATCAAATTCAAAACTCAGATTTATTATCAGGTCAAACAATGGAAGATAAAAAATGCATTGCAAGAATGTTCTTACAGTTTAAGGCTAACAATTCCAAAAATAAATAATGGAAAATTATTAAAATACGAAGAGGGGTACAGAATGTTGGAAAATGAGAGACCTTGAGTGCTGGGGCGTAAAGCTTGCGTTGGCGTAAGACTTTGAGGGATTTTCCAACTTCCCATTTGTAAGCACTTTTGTGGGATTTCAAGAATTGATTCAGATTTTTCCTAACGTGGTTCTCTTCGCCTCCTTCCTTGAACAGATTCTTGTAAAGTGCATCTTCTAAGTATTTCTTTGTAGCCCTTTTCCCAATATTCTTCGTTTTCAACGAGAATTTCTGAATAAATGACGCCATTTCTGATGGTTTCCTTATTCCTTCTTTTAGCTTTTCACTGTGATTGGGGTTTTAAGTTCAGTTTTCAATCAACTGGAAAAGCCCTAGGCAAGCTGAGGACGCAGGATGGAGATTGTGAAAATGGTAATGGGCTTCTCAAAATACAGTCGTTTGATAGAGCTGGGCCTATTCCATTATTCTCTGGGTAAAGTGCGCACAGATAGCCGATTTTTGGACCCTATATAAGCAATAGCCTATGTTCATAAACTTTTGTAAATCTAGTCAATTAGGATCAAATTTTGAAACATACGAGACTGAAGTTGTAAATGTATGCATATAAGTGCCTGAACTTCAGGTGAACAAATTTTGCCCAGAACCAGTCACTTATTCTTCAAATTTCAATAACTCAATATACAATTTAACACCCAAATTTACTCCAAATAGCTCAAAATTTGAAACATAAGTTTTAAATTTCAAAAAAAAATAGACCCCAATAGTTAATTGAATTTATTACTGTTTAAACAAAAACTGTGTACTTTGGTCAAAGCTTATTTTTAGAAGTACTCGGGTTACTGATAATCAAGAAATTCTATATTTTCTCAGTGATAAGGAAGGAAATTAGAATATGAAATAGCAAAGTAATCAATAGAAATCAAAAGTAAGTAATTGTATTCCAATAATAATTAGAACGTGTTTGTACAAATGATATCTCTTTCCCTTATATAGGAATTTATAAGTACAACGTCCTTCCCCTTTTATGACCGAATCGTTATGAGCATTAATGATATTAATGAGACGTTATAATTGGTAATTATAATTGTTCATGAGGATTTTGTAACGTTTGAGATCATTCACGCTCATTAATTGATGATTCATGAATCTTTCCTTTTTACTGTCTTGATTCATTCCACCGGTACCTCTTCATGTAACCATTTAGACTTGAGCGACCATATTTTTTCCTCTCGTGGGTGATTTGCTCGTATCTGTTACGACTCGTGTCTCTTTCAATGCATCTCTCCAACTGTCGTTTTTCTAGTAATCCACGTGTCTTGCCATATCATCCACATATTTGATTCCACGTGTAATATTTATTTTTACCAATAAAGATAGTCCCCCCACTTGCCAATTATTTAGCAATTAAATATTTGGGAAGTGGTATGTATTTATGGCGGGAATTTTTGCCCCTGTTTCCCATGTATCATTATGTCTTCTCCAGAAGCAACGCGTCGTATGTCACTTCCATTTAATGCATGTGCCACGTGGCCTTCGTCGATTGGGTTTATGACTCTTCACCATTTTTTAGGGCTTTTTTACGGCTGCATCTGCCATGAAGTGACTACTTCATTATGACGTTTCCATCATGACTCACTTTTTATGACGGTTACTTTTTCATATAAATACCTCCTCTGCCTTTGCTTTTATGAAAAACTTTCTACAGTGTTCTTTGTTCACAATAGTTCTCGTTCTTTGATGATAGGCTATAATTGCATATTTTAGTCGCTTATTACACTCTAATTTACTGCACTTTAGTTGAGTTTGCGCTTTAATCGCTAGTGTTTTGCACTAACAGTGTGTTTTATGCCTTGTAGGAGTGATTTCGAGCTATATAGATGTTATGGAATAAATTTAAGTGATTTGAAGCTTTGAAGTCTGAGTAAAAGCTCAAGGAATTAAGCCGGGATCGTGTTCGGGGGTCAAATTTGATAGTTGAGAACAAACAAAGACTCGATGAGGCATATTGCGCATTGTCTAGTAAACTAGACATAACTTTCTGCTCCGAACTCTATTTGGGATATACAATACATGGTTGGAAAGCTAACTCAAAGGGCTACAACTTTCATGTTTTACGTTTTTCCAAATTCCAAACGGAACAGGGTGAAAAATGCGGTCGAAACCGCGACCGCGGAACTGACCGTGGCAGAAAATCAGAGAGCTTGTCTAGCCGCGGTCCTACCGCGTTTTGGCCGCGGCCGCGCCGCTCCAGGCGTCAAAAAGAAGTCCTATTTCGTCCGGGACAAGGTTATTTCGGCCCTACACTATTCTAACTTGTATAAATGGGGTCCTAAACCTATTTTGAAGGGGGGACACACTTTTGACATAATTTAGACCTAAGGAGGCTAAGGAGACGGGAGATTCGACCTAAGGAGTCAAGAACACAATAGGAGTAAGGCGCGGAATTCTTCAACGAGTTTTTCCTTCTTCTTCCTATTTTTTTCATTGTTGGCTATGATTTTTAGTATTGTAGTTTTACATACTATTATGAATAGCTAATTTGTTTTCTAGGGTTTTGATGGAACCTTTTGGGGATGAATTGGTTGTTATATTAATATAGTTTTGAATTGGTTGTTTATCTCTATTTGTTCAACTACGTTTTGATTGTGGTTAATTGAAAGGATCCTCAATTAGTCGTTCCTATTTATTATGTATCTGCTTGAGAGAGAGTGCATATTTAGGTAGTTGTTTGAACAACATCACTCCCGGAGTATAGGCGAGAGTCATAACCGAGGGTTTAGAGGTTGGATTAGAGATAACGATACCTCGGGTGCGATCTAAGTGAACTGTAATGTGAATCTAGCTAGCGTAGCTTGAGAGAGTGCGTCTAATAAATTATCATAATTGCTTGAGAGAGATTTATGATAGCTGGAGAGTTCATGATTGATAGAGGCAACTAAGTCAAAGCTATAAGAAACATACAACTAATGAAATCAACAATTGGGGAAATCATAACTCCAAACCTCCTTAATTTAGTCTCCAAACCTTTGTCTCGTTAGTTGATAATTTTACCATTTTATAGTATTTGTTGGTTAATTAGTTAGATGTAAAAATCTTAATATTATAATTTAGAAATTGTTCAAACTTGTCTTCTTTGTGATATTGAACAATTACAGCGAAACCTTAATTCTCTGTGGGATTCGACTCCGGACTTTAGACCGGATTATTTTTGCAGCGACCGCTTATCCTTTTTAGGACTAGAGTTGGGCGTGATCATTCTTCATCACGTATTACTTTCTCATACAACTATGTCTTCTTCAAATTCTTATCCTCGTAAAGTTGTTATAGTGGATGAACTTCCCCTTTCGTCTGCTCCTACCAGAAGTAGAAGAGGTGGCAGGTTATGTTGTTGCTTCTAGGGAGACAAACCGATGGGATGTTTCAGTCACTTCGAAAGCTTACGTCATGAGCATGACATCATCAAGAGAGGTTCGAGAAAGTCGAGGTCAAGATCGTTTCTTATCTTTTCATTCTAAATAACGCAGGGACTATCTGTATACGACCAAAATTGGGGAGTTCGACTTTGGGGCTACTATGTCGCTCCACGTTTAACCTCGAAGAAGCCCGAAGTAGAGCGTGAGGTGCGACCCCGAGGTGCGTCCCTCGAGGGAGCGCATCGAAGGCTCACCATGGTCGACCTCGGAGCAATACAATCGATGATCGTCATGGAAAGGCGGGAAAATTCTCAAATACACGTGGCTAGAACTGACCAGGTCTGCAAGAGTAGTACAAATCCGTACTGAGCCGTTGTATAGCTGTACTAATAGCTTTTCTTTGTCATTAATTAGACATGTACTGTGTTGGGATTCACCCCTTCTATATAAAGGGGACCCTTATCATTTTGTACGGGATTCGGATTTTTACACTACATATTGAATGCAATACAACATTCTCTGCTCTTTGCTAACACTATTGTTCTTCACATTTATTGCTTAATCTTTCATTGTTCATTTATTGTTATTCATTTATCGCTCATCATTAATCGCAAAAGGCCATCTTTAAGGCCCTCATTACCATTGATTCTTCATCAATTGTTCATTGCTATTAGTCCCGTCTAGACCTCGAGGCCCTGCTCCAGCCAGCTCGAGGCCCAGCCTGGTGACCCTATTGGTTTGCATTTCTTATTTTTTTTACTCACACTTAGCATCTATTGCCTAACAACTAGTATTAAAATAAATCACGTATTTCTAGAACCACAAAATCAAATATAATTGTAGTTACCATTTTCAAGGTAAACAATTGAGTAGACCCGATTTTGACCGTATACACTTGATAAATCCAATTAGTCGTTGAGGAATAAGTAAAACACATAAGCTCTTGAATCTTGATGGGAAAGATATTGAAAGCAACCTCAAGTAATGGGGCAAACAATATTAAGAAAACAGAAAACAATACATAGTGAAAATTTATTGCAACAACAAAGCCGACGATGAACAAGTAACACGAGGCACTTGAACCTTGGAAAAAAAAAACATTAAAAGCAATCACATACACCAGAGCTGGAGAAATAACAATAACAACAACCAGATATAAAGTCACACAATATCCAAATTAACAATCCTCGACGATGGATGTTTTTTCAAGTGACAAACTCACACAAACACCTCAGCTGTCACTGGCCTCAGAAAAGTTGTTGATAATTGATTAGTTTTGGTTTCCCAAGATAGCAAGAAGGAAAGAGTTGTAATCCCCAGAAGTGTGCTTAGAGACGGCATGATGAAGAGTTACACTATTCCTCTTGTAGAAAAGCTCTTTGATAACCTCCAAGTCCTTCTCTGCCCTGCTCACTATCACTCTTGTCACCGATTCCTCATCTGTCCCTGACTTCATTAGGGCACGCCGAATTACCTTCATCATATCACTTTCAACCATTAATCTAAAACATACCAATATATATTCTGCCGAAAACTTTTAAAATAATATTTGGAAATTATTTGACTTAGCTTTTTCCAATTTCCAACTTCGACATACTGCTTTTTTAAAATCTCAGCCAACTCATATCCAAACAATTTATTTGTTACCTTTTCATAGTATTGCTGAGGGTCATTAATAATGCATCGGATTGTCGTTCGCAGCGCTCCTAAGAAAGCATTAGCTGCCTTTGCCTCGCCGTCCCTCAAGTGCTGCAAAAAGAAGAAAAAATAATTAAGACCAAATCACGATGCCCCATAGATCTTGTTTTCTATTTGACGGTTGATATTGACTATAGAAGTATAATATTGGGATAATGGAAATTTCAAATTATTAAGAGTTTAACTTTATCTAATCATTTAAAAGATATTAACCAGAAAAGATTAGTGCAAGTAACTGCATACTCATAACAAGTGGAACAATTTACCTGTAAAATAAGATAGATAATTTATTGCAATACGTTAAATTATAGTGCTAGTATAGAAATTCTTTACACTATTATAAGTTATAAC